CCCTCCCCATCCTTACCTGCCGTTGACTTTGGAGGAGTTTGACCATTCTATCAGGTGTACCACAGTATCTTGTTTTAATTTACATTCCCCTGAAGTCTTGAGTTGTGAAGCATCTTTTCATATGCTTATTTACATAATATCTGCATATTTCCATCCATGAGGTATCTGTGCAAGAGTCTGCAAATTAAGAAAAAGCACTTTATAAAGGAATATTATCTTTGGGGGCGTGGGGCTTTGCTAAGTCTTGCACAGTGAAGAGAACAAAACATAAGAGTCTAAATTCAACCTTCAGAGAAGAAATATGTAACTGAAAACAATGTGGTACCATTTTATCCACAAAGTTAGGGAAACTGTTTTTGAAAATTAAAAGGACTAAGTCTGGTGCCAGTGGCTCACACCTGTAATTCTAGCAACTCAGGAGGCTGAGGTCTGAGGATCACAGTTCAAAGCCAGCCCAAACAGGAAAGTTCACAAGACTCTTACTTCTAATTACTAATTGAGCTGGTAGAGCATCAGCCTTGAAGGATAAAGCTAAGGAACAACATCCAGGCCCTAAGTTCAAGCCCTAAGCCCAGCACAAAAAAGAAACCTTTCTTAACACATATTTGGTGATTTTGCTCTTCATAGAAAACTGTTGTAAATTGCTCACCATCCACTAGGTGGGGGTCCAGCTAGATTCCTATGCCCCCAGCACATGGTCTGCATCCCAGGAGGTGTGACTCTGAGAAAGGTGAGGCTCCAATGAGTCAGTCCCTCCATCCTAAGTAACACAGTTAATGGCTGGTCCAGGCCTCCTGGCCCAGTGGGGAGGTGAAGGAAGGAGATGGGGGGGAGGGAGGGAACCACACATCTGGTGAGGCTAACCTGAAAAGTTTGCCTTTTCCTAAATACCCAACTGTGCTTTTCTTTTCCAACCAACTCGACATCTTAATAAGGCATTGAACATACTTTAAAATATTACTATATTTTATTATAAAAAATCATAATCATTATTCAAGGCATCAGTGGCTCATGCCTGTAATCCTAGCTACTCAAGAGGATGAGATCTGAGGATCATGGTTCAAAGCCACCTTGGTCAGCAAAGTCTGTGAAACTTTTATCTCTAACTACTAAAAAAAAAAAAAAAGAGCCAGAAGTAGTAGAGCTCTAGCTTTGAATAAAAGAAGCTCAGGAACAGTGCCCAGACCCTGAGTTCAAGCCCCAGGATTGGCACAAAAAAAAAATTCACATTCAATACAGAATAATTCAAATAGACTATGAAGAAGAAAATCTCTTTAATACTCTTCCATGAATAAATGATTCTTGATGCTGTGAGTCCTACAAGTTTTGTACATAATGGCAAAATATAAAAACAGCTTAAGAAATAGATCTGTGGTCATAAAAATATATCCACTCTTTTTGATCTGCCCAAAATGTGCTTTTTACCATTACCTAATCTTTCCTCTTCTATGTCATATTTTATTAGTCTTGTTAAATAGACCTTTCATAATTCCTTTCATCTTTTACTTAATTAAAAAGGAAAGGTTATTTCTAGTTTTTAAAACAGCTTTAAAAATAAACATAATTTTATACATTTTAAATATTTCCAGCCAGGCACTAGTGGCTTAAACCTGTAATCCTAACTATTCAGGAGGCTGAGATCCAGAAGATCTTGTGTTCAAAGCCAACCAAGGCAGAAACATCCAGGAGACTCCATCTCCAAAATTATCAGCAAAAAGTCAGGCCTGCAGCATGGTTCAAGTGGTGGAGCACCAGCCAAGCAAGTATGAGGCTGAGTTCAAACCCCAATATCACCAAAAAAAATGTTTAAGGTGGAAGGGGAGAAAAGAAGAAGAGAGTTCCAGAATGAACAGGGCAAGTTATTCATCCTTACTAGTTCCCAGGTCCCTAATCTCTGGGTCATCTCCCATGTCCTATTGGGTTTGGATAAAGTGCCCTGTCTGGTGTGGCAGCGGTTGTATGACCTAATCTGACAAGTGTGACATGATGTCTTTCTATCCAAGAAGGTAATATTCTATGGGTTGTTTTCATCCATCCCTCCATACCATTTCATATGGCACATTGTTTTTCAGTGTGTTGAATGTCTCCCTATCTTCTGTATGGCTGGTGAAAGAACCAGTCTTCCACCCTCCCTACCTCAGGGTGACAATGTGATGTCTAGCACTGTTTACTTACAGAAAGGGTTGTTTGTCTCACCAAGAGAACTGAGGACCTGTGTAACTGAGATAGGATGAGTCCCATGGCCCATCTCTCCCATTGTCCTGAACCACATCAACATCTCTTTCAAAGGATGCCAGTTTTATTATTATTGTTATTATTGTTGTTATTATTTTAAGAAGTTGTACAAAAGGATGATAATTCAATGTGTCAGTTTATAAGCACAGTATATCAATGTCACCCTTTCCACCAGTCTCCTCCATTTCTCCCAACCCCACCCATCCATCAATTTTCCTGCTTCCATTTATACCTACATAAGTTGAGTATTATGAGTGCATTCTCCTCCACACTTCTTGTCACTTGTTTACCCAGCTTCCCTTGACCTCACCCTCCCCCCACACCTCAAGCACCAGTTTCCTGGTATTCATTTTGTTAGGCTACTCAAAGGAATTGGAATTCTCCCTTGCAGAGACCATACTTTAGTTAAATTACATGTGTAAATGATCCCCTGTATGTTTACATGTATATTTCTAAATTAGAATTAACTTCCTTATATTAGAGAAAACATGTCTCTCTGGGCCTGACTTACTTTTTCCAGGTCCATCATTTCTTTGCAAATGTAATATCATTTTTCTTGATGAATGAGTAAGTTCCATTATGTATTTTATATATATACACACACACACACACACACATATATCACATTTTCTTAATCCTTTTGTCAACCTAAGGGTATCTGGGTTGTTTCCATACCTTGACTATGGTGAATAGTGCAGAATGAACACTGGAGTAATAGCTTTACTGTGGCCTGATGGGTAATCTTTTGGATAATTACACAAGTGGTATTGCTGGACCATAGAGTAGTTCTGTGTTTAGTTTTTTTGAAGAATCTCCAAGAATTTCCACAAGGATGCCATTGGCATCTGACACTGGCTGAGTGTGTGTGTGTGTATGTGTGCATATGCATATGCATGTGCACATGCATGTGCACATGTGTGTATGTGGTTGAGTGTGTAACTTGTAAAGATGACCCTCTTTTCTCCTTGGTCTGTTTCTTAGAGCACTTACTTGTTTGGATGGAGTTTGTCAGTGGTGTAGATTTACCAAGAAGCTGAAGACAATTTCCAGCTAGTGCTGGAATAAATACATGTTGAGTTATTGACTCAATCAATCATGGGCTAATTAACTCCCTGCCCCATTAGAAGCAAGGCAAAATATCCCTTCTCATTGTCAGGAGTAGACATCGCCTGGAGGTAATCCAGTCATCTCTCTTCCTTTTGGCATCTCCACTTCAAAACAGTGAATCAGACCTTGGACCCTGCCAGCCTTACAAAGACAGACTTTCCTGCCAATATCTTCTGCCTTCTCAATCTAGACTAGAGAATCACCAAGCTGCCCTGAGCCAAGCTGCACACCTGCCCTTCGCCTCTCACACAGCCCAGCTCTTCTCCTCTCAAGCCAAGCGGGGGGAAAAACAAGTAGCTAAGCTCTGCTGCCTCCAATAAAATGGGAGAAAGCAAGAAACAAAGCATCCTATGCTAGAGTGACAAAGATACAATAAATCTCATAGAACATGAGCAAAAGAAAATGCAAAGGTGAAAACACTGAGAACATGGGTTGAACGTATTTATAAATTACTATCACTGTGCATATCATCTAGTACTTAAATTTCTTTTTGTTTTATGTTTTACTGGAGAATATTCTACTTTCTTCCTATATCTGGTGAGGATCCTTTGCATAGTTACAAAGTTATATAGGATTATGTTTAATAGAATGCCAGGGCTAGTAGTGTGGCTCAAGTGGTAAAGCACCTGATTAGCAAACACCAGGCCCTGAGTTCAAACCCAGTACTGGAAAATAAAAACTAGAAAAATTTAGGTGTGCATATAAGCATAGATGTATATAAACATATATGTGAAACATATATTTGGGGAGAAAATGTATTTTTATACTTAGAATATTTATATATGTAAATGTATATCTTCTATAGCAAAGTATAAATATACATACATTTAAGCTTTCACTGAAAGATAATACATAAGACTGAGATCAGCTGGGAGTGGGGCATGGCTCAACTGGAAGATTTTGTGCCTGGCACTCACAAGGCCCTAAGTTCAAAACCTCAATACTGTTGATAAAAGAATGGAAGCACAATGACTACCTTACTCCCGCAGAAGTGCTTTTTCATTGTCCTTTCCATATACCTTGGCTATTTTTAACAATGAGCATGTACTACCTTTATAGCTTTTCTAAAAAAGCAGCTCATTTACAAATTTTAAGGAGCTTAAGTAGTAAAGCTAGCTTAAATTGTAAATCCAGGTGAGTTTTGATATTGGATCCTCCTGAAAAGAAATAATATCCCATTATGTCCAACTAAAACGATATGATTCCTGAAGAATAAAAAAGTAAAACCAGCTGGGGGCCAGTAGCTCACCCTGTAATCCTAGTTACTTAGGAGGCTGCAATCTGAGGATGGAGGTTCAGAGTCCATCCGGGCAGACAAATCCATGAGACTCTTATCTCCAATCAACCAGAAAAAAAAAGCTGGAAAAGGAGAATGGAGGCATGATAGGGTACAGCTGTGGACAGAAGAATCTGAGTGAGAGCAAGAGGCCCTGAGTTCAAGCTTCCGTAACAGCACACACACACACACACACACACACACACAGAGTACCAGCCACGACGTCCACTTGTTGATGAAATTCAAATCCTGACCCTCCCTGGGCCAGAGCTTCACCTGGACTGGGAATATTGTCCCCTATCTGTTTCAGGGCCAGCCCCCAAGTTAGCCTCTGACTTTTAGATGTTGGGCTTAACCAGCAGCACCTCCCTTGCTCTTGTAGGGCCGAGGAGGCAAAGGCAGCATCTACGTGTGGGCCTCCGGGGATGGTGGCAGCTATGATGACTGCAACTGTGATGGCTACGCCTCCAGCATGTGGACCATCTCCATCAATTCAGCCATCAACGATGGCAGGACTGCGCTGTATGATGAGAGTTGTTCCTCCACCTTGGCATCTACCTTCAGCAATGGGAGGAAGAGAAACCCCGAGGCTGGTGTGGTAAGTGTGAGCCAATTCCTGCCCTTGCTTCCTTATGGGATACACATGTTAACTCCCTTTCCTCAAAGCCTTGGGAGAAGACCCACTTTCCTCATGTCTCATTACACTGTATGATCAAGGTGGAGACCTACCGTACATGGGTTGAAAGCAAGAATGATGAGGAGCCCTGTGTAGCTCACCTTCCGTGGATGTTCTTGTTGATATTCTGGTATACAAATGATGATGGACTCTGGCTTATAATTAAGTTGCCTTGGCTTACCACTTGCAAGAATAGTTAATTGTAAGAACTGGGACATCATACCACAACCCCATCTGAACCAAGAACCCTATGTATTATAATAGTGACAATATAGCATTGCTAGGATGTAGCATGTCAGATGCTCTGGGTTTACTCCTCATCACTGAAAAAAAGAAAGAAAGAGATAATAATATCCACCAACAAAAAAATAATAATATCCACCAATAGACTTTTCTGGGTCCCTTAAACCCTTTAGAATTGGGTACAACTGGTTTTTTTTCCCTCAAGGTAAAAGTGTGGTTTTCATTGTATTTTTAATAGATTCATGACTTAAAAAGCAAAAATTAAGGCTTAGAGAGTTAGGTTATTTTTCTTCTCTTTTCTAAGCAAAAGACTTTTCCTTCCTTACTAGGTGCTCACACTTATAATCCTAGCTACTTGGGAAGCTAAGCTCTGAGGATTACGGTTCAAAGCCAGCCCAGGCAGAAAACTCTGTAATTAACCAGTGGAAGTTATGATAATTGCAATTAACTAGTAAAAAGTTGGAAGTGGAAGTATGGTTCAAGGGTATAAAGTGCCAGCCTTGAGCAAGAAAGCCAAGTGAGATCATGAGGTCCTAAATTCAAGCCCAAATACAGAAAGAGAGGGGGGAGGGAAGGAGGGAGGGAGGGAGGGAGGAAGGGAGAGAGAATTCTCCTTCCTAGACAGCTAGGATAGTGCAATGGTAAATAGACATCAGAGCTGTATAGCATATTTACCCTCTGGGAGTCTCTTCCTTCCTATTTTCCTCACATACAATTCTTTCCTCAGACCTCCAAATTAAGGATTTAGTATGGAAGTCAATAGATGAACTGCATCTTAATGGCCACCCACCACCAACTACCCAAAAGAGGAAAAGATGGAAGCTCAAAATAAAAAAAAATCATTATTTCCATCTAAGGTTTTGATCCCGTTTTCCCCTGGGCGATGATCTTGTTGAGATGATCAGACTGCTTTGTGAGCCAGAAGAAGCCCTTCCCATAAGAGAGACATGGCTGGTAACAGCCTGTCCTTCCTGTGACCCTCCTGGTTGCCTATCGGTCAGAATATGCCAGCTCTTCCCAAGCAGAAGGAAGGCTTAGCTCTTTTTATCCCATCCAGAAACAAGTAGAGAATGGCAGACAGTTGGGGAAGGGAAAGCCTCAGACCTATTCCTCTTGTGATGCCCACTTTCCCCTCTCTTCCTTTTTTTTTGGAGGGCATACCACCCTTTCCTTCAAGAAGAAATGATTGGGTCATAGCCCTAGAACTGGTCCCAATGTAACAAAATGCACCATTGCATGGACCAGGGGATAGAACTTGCCTATCACTTTTTAACCTCTGGTGTCCCCTTTTCTGCTGCAGAAAATAAAAGTCTTTCTAGTCCTTGAAATGGCCATATTATATGCTTCTTTGAACAATTGACTTACCTTGTGGATACTGTACTGATAAATGATAATGTCCCTTTTTGCATGGATTATTAGGAAACTTGAATAAAATGTATGCCAAAGGAGATCGATATTTGGGTGTTAAGCTTATCCTTAATTTCATCTTAATCTTCAGAGCAAGATATATTTTAAATAAAACAAATATCTTATAGCCTGATCCATTGTTTGGGGATTCAACATGGTAAGATTTGTTCATTCATTAGGCAATCTCTTCTCTTCCAGGCCACCACAGATTTGTATGGCAACTGCACTCTGAGGCATTCTGGGACATCTGCCGCTGCTCCTGAAGCAGCTGGGGTGTTTGCACTGGCTTTAGAGGCTAAGTATGTTATAGCTCTGGGCCCAGAGCTGAAGGGTGGGTTAACATGTGCCTCTCTACCCCCATGCCAGGTACCCATGGAGGCAAATGTGGGTGTGAGAACCTATTATGAACTCTCCTAAGCATTTCTGATGACCTCTGAGCCTTAAATCTCATGTGCACATATATTCACACATGTGCATATATGCATACACATATACAGCATAAAGCTACACCCTTAAGAGAGCAGAAGGCTCCAACGCCCAACTCAGATACCAAATAGGAGCACATACATATTTCTTCATGAAATTCCCCTTTTATAATCTGTGAGTTCCTTGGTATTTACTCTAATAAATTATCTCAATCAGCTACGAAAAGAAAAATCAAACTGTCAAATTGAATATCTAGCAAGGAATTTCAGAACATTTAGTAAACAGCATGTTTCTACTCAAGGTTTGTTCATTGTATAGGTTGGAAGTGTGGCTCAGCAGTAGAGACCCTGGGTTCAAACACCACCTCAGAAAGCAAGCAAATAAACCAGAAAGAAGAAAGAAGGAAAGAGAGAGAGAGGAAGAAGGAAGGAAGGAAGGAAGGGAGAGAGGGGAGAGAGAGGGGGTGAGAGGGAGGGAGGGAGGGAGAAAGGAAAGAAGGAAGGAAGGAAGGAAGGAAGAGAAGAGGGAAGGGAAGGAGGGAGGGAGGGAGGGAGGGAGAGAAAAAAGGAAAGGAAGGAGAATAAAATAAGCTATGGGCTTTACTGGAAAGCCCTCTCCTTGCACTACACAGCTTACTCCATTCACCTTGGATGTGAACATCAGTGGAGATACCTACCCATCGGCTGTCCTCCCTCCTCTCAGTGAAGCCAGAGGCTAGCCTTATGTTTGAGAAGTGGTCTTCAAACACAAAAACACTACATACATAGAGTGACTGTTAACACCTGCCTTGTGGGGAGTTCTCAGAGAAGGCATCATTCAACAACTTGTGAGAAATTGGATTCTGGCTCCTGAGGATGGAGAGTTGAGTTCCCACATGCCTGTCAGCAGTTGCTAAGCAACGGCAGCTTCTACCGTCCATCTCCAGGTAGCCATGCTTGGAGTAGCCCTCCATGTATGCAGTGCATTTTCTGATTTACAAAAAGGACAAGACTTGCTTTTTGAATATGATGGCAGGAGTCTTTAAAAGATTTTCTAGTCTAGCATCCTTCCCCCCCCCCAAAAAAAAAGAAGAAAGAAAGAAAGAAAAGATGTAGCTATTCTCCTTTTCTAGAAAAGGCTCCCAAATTAAGAGTGTCTTCTTTAAACTTTGATTCTTCTAAGAAAAGTCAGATGGAAAATTTAGGACTCAGAATGGGCCACTGAGCTTAACTATTGAAGATAGCTATCTCTGACTTATTAAGCATGGAAACCAACAGTTACTCACACATGATACCATTTTCTGAAAATGAACCATGTTGGGACCTGAGCAGGTCCTGGAGAAGGAGCGGATTTAATCATTCCAATTCCCAACTACATAGAAAGAGTCTCCCTTTCAACCTCAGTGGGCAATATTGGCTCATGGTCTCCTAGGCAAACAGAGCCATTTGCACACACACACATCACACACACACACACACACACACACACACACAGAGCAATCTATTTTTTGGCTGGATTTTAAGGTTGGCTATACCTTAAAACTGGAAATGGTTCATTGATGTTGTTTTAAATATGTTGACCAATATTTTAATTGAAAAATAGTATTTATTTTCTTACTTCTATTCTCAATATATAAAATAGATTTTTTTTACTAATAAAATAAAGTCTTCATTGAACACTCATTCTGTGCCAGTTCCGTGGCACATCTAATCCTTTACTTCACACCCTGGAGCAAACCTGTCAGGCCTTGCCCCATTTTGAAGATATGAAGCTGGGGTTCAAACTGTTAAAGCAACTTGTCCAAGTTCCCACCACTGAATCTAAATCCTGTGATACCTTGAAGGTTCCAGTGCTGGGGTTTTTCCTCAACCCAACTCTTGGACCCAAAAGAAGCAATGACACTATGGAGTCAAAAATAAGACAATGGAATTAAAAATCTCCAGACTCTGACATCATTGTATTTACCATGTTCAAAGACTGAGCCATGGTGGAGAGCCACATCTTGGAGCAGTTCTCTCTCACATCGGTGTGCATAGGAAACATCTGGAGAGTCATCTTACCGATTGTCAGTCTCACCTCTTTCAAGACGCTGACTCAGGAGAGTCAGGAACTCACATTTGTCACTAGTGTCCAAGTGGTTCTGATTCAGGGAGCTTGAGGACCACAGTGAGAACCAGTAGGTGGGATGCTGCGGGGGTTCTACTCAACCCTTTGTCCGCCTCCTGAGTGACCCCATCATGAGAACCGTCACTTTGTCAATGCTGACTTGTCCATGTAAGCCTAGACTACAGGCTCTGTGAAGAAAAGGGTCTCCACTTGACATGCCCAGAATTGGGGCATCGTACCTGAGCACAACACTTAATGACATTCATGGAGTCACTTCACATGAACTACCTTTCCATGTCTGTCTTATTTTCCCAACTATTATATAGAACGTTCAAGAACAGGAGAGAATATGTCATGTTCCTTGTCCTACAACCTCCAACACGGTGACCTTTTCTTGCCGATAGTCTGTAGATTCATTTTTTATTATTTAATAACTATCAACTGGGAGTTTTGAGCTGCTATGTGAAGATTAAAACTTAACACAGGTGGGTGAAATGCCTATTTTACAGACAGTATCTTCCATCAATTTTAAAATTACTAAGAAAGGCCAATTAGAAGAGACCTGATTTTACCATTCAGACATATGCCAATGGCTAACGAAACCATAGCATGCATTCAGTTACATACCCAGTAGGGACTCTGATTAATCTCAGAAGTGAGAAGTTCTTTGCTTGGATTCTCTCTCCCTCCCTCTGTGCTTTCCCTTTGTGCCTCTCTGTCTATGCTCTTTCTCTCTGCTCTCTTTCTTTTTCTCTCTGCACTCCTCTCTGTCTGTCTGTCTATCTGTCTGTCTCTCTCTCTCTCTCTCTCTCTCTACCTCCATCTTCATCTCCTGCATGAGAATACATCTGTGAAGAAACATCTGAGGAAATGTGAGCACTGCCCACTCCTACAGCAAACATAAAAGATTCTTCCCCCTGCCAGCCCACTCCAAGGTCATCTAGATCCTCAGCTGCTAAAACACTTCGGGGATTCATAAATTCAGAATCCCATTCCAGCAAAACCACGGTGCTTTTAGCCATAATCTACTTCAGGAAATGTCACACCATTCTTTCAGGTCCCTGGGGACCATGCGTGCCAGATTTGTTCTGAATCTTCTCAAATAAGCTTGACCTTCCTTTGAACTTTCTCCTTAAAAGAAGATCTGCATTTCAAGAGCATATGGATTATTGGAACACACTGGCTCTGATTGAGAGCCCAAGATCAATGAATTTTGTTTGCATTGAAATTTTACCAAATGAGTTACATTGTTCCTGGTCCTTAAAATTATTTGTCTTCTGAGGAGAACAGTAATTCTGAAATCTATCCATTCTTTTAACCATGACCCTCAGTGAGAGATAAATTCTGTACTACAGAACAACACACACACCAATACACATACTCCAAATGTTTCATATAAAATATTTATATGAAAAATCTACATGCACATCACCCTGTTATTGTTTTCTCTTCTAGTCCACTTACAAATGAGAGTTACACACATCACATCTCTGCTTTACAAGGGTGTCTACCTATTCAAATGATCTGGAAAATGTAACATTTTCCAATGGCTAAGATTCTCTTCCAGAGATTGTGGTTTAATTGGTCTGAGATACAGCGTAAGCACAGGGATTTTAAATGTCCCCAAAATGATTTTAGTATGCAGCCTAAGTAGACTATATGTGCAATAAGCAGATTTCCTAGCTCACAACTTAGTTATGACTTGTAGTTTGAAAAATCAGTCACTAGGTAACAATAGACTAATTTCCACAGGAAATACCATTTGCAAGCAAGACTGGTTTGTTCAGTAAACAATGCACCAAGGACTGTCCTGGGCACTGGGACACAAATATTGAAGATATTATCTCTGTCGTACAAGAACTGGCAGTCTCATTTCTCCAAAATTGAGCACACCAGATAGTCATCTCCCAGGTCAAGAAAGAGTACTGTCAGCTGAGTCCCTTTCCAGTCATGACTCTCACAACCAACCACTCATCCCATTTCCCACAACACTGTTCCTGTTGTACTTTAAACAAATTGAGTCCAACAATATGTTCTCTGTTGTCCTCCTTTTTACCTTGCTATAATGAGCTACTTGATGCTAGATACTTAATTACAAAAGAGTACTTTTGCTCACAGTTAGAGAAGCTGAAAGTCCAAGATCAAGCACTCCATCATTTCGGCCGCTGCTGAGGGAACTTCTGGCTATGTCACATCATGGCAGATGTCATCATGGTAGTTGTACATGTGAGAAGATACCACACGGCTAGACAGGAAGCCGACAATAGGAAGGAGACAACCTTGCTCTTGAGACAAGGGTCCCCTGAGATCTACATAACTCTTTCCTGAGGGCAGCGTCCCCAGTGGCCAAGCACCTCCCTGTAGGAACAACCCCTCAATGGTCCTAGGACCTCCCAGCTTCATCACAATAAGGACCACGCTTGCAGCACCTGTGGATAGACTCAAACTGTATGCACTCTCTTTTTGTGTCTAGCTTCTTCAGGTCAATGTTGTACTTGTAAGAGTCATTCATATTATTAGAAATAATTGTAGTTCACTCCTTCTTACCCCTCTGTAATACTCTACATTCTCTAAATTATACCTTGATGGTTGATTCATTCTACTACAAAAGGATACTTGGGGGATATGCAAGTCGGGGCTGTGAGCAGTGCATAAGGCTGATGGATAGATACACATTTTTTGGAATAGAATTTCTGGGCTGTGGCTTAAGCAGATGGAAAAGTCTTAGGAGCTACAACCAGTTTCCCAGAGTGTTTGCAATAATTTGTACACAAATGCCATGCATTGCAGTTGCTCCCTGTCTTTGACAACATGTGATCTTGTCAGTCTTTTTCATTTTAGCCAATCTAATATGTGTTAGGATACTCTTTGGAAGCAAAAATATTTCAAGAAAAACAAACTCTTTAACAATAACAAAAAGAAGTGCAGAAAAGGACTAGAGATATGGCTCAGTGGTAAAGCCCAGGCAAATAAATGTGAGGCCTTGAGTTGAAACCCCATTACCACTCCAGAAAAAAATCTGCTACGTAAATTGCAAAATATATTATCAATAAGAATATTGTTATATACAAAAAGAGGGGCTGGGAAGGTGACTCAGTGGTAGAGTAGCTTGCCTTGCATGCATGAGGCCCTGGGTTTGATTCCCCAGAACCACATAAGCAGAAAAAGCTGCAAGTGGTACTGTGGCTCAATTGGTAGAGCGCTAGCCTTGAGCTGAAGAGCTGAGGGACAGTGCCCAGGCCCAGGCCCCACAATGGACAAATAAATACATAATAAATTTAAAAATTAAAAAAAAGAATATTGTGAGTTTTAACCGTGACCAAAAACAGAAAAGAAAAGCAAGAAGACTTTGTAAATTGACATAATAATGGTCCCAAATAGTGTGTGGACCCTTCCTTGCATGGGGTTTGTAGACTAAAGGGTCTGTGTCCTGAGCATCACTTTCCTTCATCATGTTCCTCTTCTTCTCTCTCCCTGCCTCTCGCCCTTGCTCTCACACTCTCTGCCTCTGACAACCAGTCTGGGTCTGACCTGGAGAGACATGCAGCATCTGACCGTGCTCACCTCCAAACGGAACCAGCTTCATGACGAGGTCCATCAGTGGCGGCGGAATGGAGTGGGACTGGAGTTTAATCATCTCTTTGGTTACGGAGTCCTCGATGCAGGCGCCATGGTGAAAATGGCTAAAGACTGGAAAACTGTGCCTGAAAGATTCCATTGTGTGGGAGGCTCCGTCCAGGACCCTGAGTAAGTCGGGACACTGCTTCTGCTACTGCATGTCCAAGTGGCCCAGAGATGGTGTCATAAGATCGCCCACACAGCTGGACTCCCCCTCCCTGTCAGAGGCAAGCACTGGATCTGATTCAGGAACAAACAGTTCCTAGACAGAGTCACAGAGTTGCCCAACTTGGGTGGAGGTGGGGTTGGGGGGAGGTGCTCTGGCATTCACAGAGAACAGAAATGTATAATAAAAAAGTGTAAGCTGTAACTATTTCAGCAGTTATCATCATCATCATCACCATCATTATTAGTATTGTACTTAGGTTTAAACTCAAGGCCTTATGTTTGTTCCATGTGCATGTTAGTGAGGTTCCCTCAGACCTCAACCCCCTGAGTAGTTAGGATTTCAGGTGTGAGCCAGTTTATGTGATTATTTTTAATTGTACAAATCAACCAATGTAACCAGTGCCCAGATTAGTAAAGAGAATAGAACTTATGTCCCAGGACCCCTATAGCATCCATCATCCTCTCCTCAGTGGGGACCACTGGTCTTACTTCTAACTCTATAGATTACTTTGCCTATTCTATATTCAGTGTAAAGAGAATCAATACTCTGCTCTCTTTTCTATCTAACTAATCTTATTCTAATTTAGTTGTTTGTGAGATTCAGTCAAATTTAGTATGTACTTATAGTTTATTCTTATTATTGAAGAGTGTCTCAAGGTGTGACCATATCACAATTAGCTTATACCTTCTACTCACAGAACAAGGGAAGGACTTGATTTTGTTCTGAATGAGGCAGCGTGCCATGAGAAGGGACCTGAGGGAGGAATTTCTTACATAGAAATCACTGATTTAGCCAAGCATGCCAATTTTCCTTCCCACTTCCCCTTCATGACAAGAGAATTGGCCAATAAGAATACCTCTTTGATTTCTTGCTATCCTCATTGGTTCACCAATGGCCCAATGAGAAGGCTGAGTCAGGAGGGTTGTGAGTTCAAGGCCAACTTGGGCTACATAGCAAAACCTCATCTTAAAAAAAAGTAGCCAGCCATCAATGGCTCATGCCTATAGACCTTGCTACCCAGGAGGCAGAGATCTGAGTATTTCAGTTCAAAGCCAGCCCAGGCAGGAAAGTCTTATCTCCAATTAACTACCAAAACAGCTGGAAGTGGAGCTGAGACTCAAGAGGTACAGTGTAAACCTTGAGAAAAAAAAAAGCTCAGGAACAAAGCCCTTGATAAATGCAATTTTTCCTCTCCCTCTGATCCACAATTTTAAACATGTTCAGTTCAGAACTGCAGAAAGAAGATGAGCTCCTAGAACTGGGGATGGAATCCTTGCCTAGTTTTTCTGTGAATTGCAAACTGGGCACATTTATTGCTTAGACTCTTGTAGACAAGCATGCCCTCTTGGATGCTCATCCTCCCATTGGCCCACATCCTCCCTGGGTGAGCATCCTCCATGGGTGAGCATGCCCATTGTCTACTCACTGAGTCAAATGGATCATTACAGAACTGTGTGGTTTTCCCCCATGGACCAGTCCATAATCTCATAATGTTCACTTTAATCAGTAAAGCTTCCACCCAAGCCCCATAATAATTTAAAAACATAGAAATGCATGTCCCAAGTGACATCATATATACTTACAATGAATTATAATATATAATATGCTTATAATGCATTCAGGTTTAGGGTGTTGCTCAGCACAGAGCGCTTGCCTTGCAGATACAAAGCCCTAGATTACATCCTCAGCACAAACTTGGGAAGGATTCCTGACTGTGATTGCATCCCTCAATGCCTTCCTCACCCAGTCCCACACCTGAACTTGTTCTTGAATTCAGGAGAGTTAGCTCTAGGGCAGTTGTACTTATTGGGGAGCACAGAGGCTGGTCAGAAAAGCTTGCATGGAAGCCCAAGGCTGGTTGTGCCACTTGACAGAGGTGGCCCTTGTTACCTGGAGTCACACTTCCAAGGAGCTTCACTGTGAACAGCCTTGGCAGCTACCATTTCCCATGATATGATATTTGGGGCTGCACAGCGACAGCTTATAAGAAGAGAGCAGAGAATGATTGTCAGATTTATTCATTTTGTGGGCATTTATCTTCCCCAAGAAGGAGTCAATTTGAAAAGTGATTTTCTAAAGAGACTTTGCTATGAAGAGAGTCAGTGAAGGGTGTTCAACGAAGATCAAAAGAAAAATGCAACTGGCTGCGACCAACTGCACCTGCCTCGTGAGCAGAGCAAGCAAAGGCAGTGCCATCAGCCAACACAGGAAGCAGTTAGCTCAGAACACCACCAGGACTTTTATGTGCATCCCAAGAGAATCTCCCTGCAGCTTCTTTAAGGCCATGGCCAAAAGCATGTTCCAATTCTTAATATTTAGAGGATTTGGGAATAAATGTGAACATATTTTCTCTTTCTTTCCTTCTTTCTTTCTCTCTTTTTTCTTTCTCTCTATCATTCTGTCTTTCTTTCTTTCTTTGTGTCATCTTGGAGCTTGATCTCAGGGTCTGAGTGCTGTCCTTGAGCTTTTTTGCTACAGGCTAGCATTCTACCACTCAAGCCACAGCTCCACTTCCAGAATGTTGGTGGTGGTAGTTTTTTTTTCCTTTGGGTGGTTAATTGGAAATAAGAGTTCACAGACTTTCCTTCCTGGTCTGGCATCAAACTGAGATACTCAGGTATCAGCCTCCTGAGTAGCTAGGATTACAGGCATGAGCTACTGGTGCTCAGCTGACAACATGTATTGTGTTGGTATGAATGCCGGAAGCAGCATGAGGGAGAGAGAAAACAGCTTAGTCAATCACATGACAGATGTCTTCCTATGTGGTTAAGTGTTCAGGTGGACTCTGTCCCACTGGGAAAAAGTAAAGTTCAAAGAACCAGCCACTGTTCTATAGTCACCAGAGTGTTCTACAGGACTACCATACCACACGTGTTTACAGCACTTGAGAAACAGTGACTGTTATTATTGCTATTTTATGGCTCTAATAAAACAGTCACAACTACATAAATTTATCATACACTTGAACAGTGTTGCATGAGACACCCCCCCACCCCCGAAAACACCTGTTTCTAAGTACAAGGCAACTGAACACTTACAATGATGTGCAATAAAGAAAGATACAAGTCATTCTCTGTCTTTTACAGGATTTGAATTCTAGGCTTTTGTCCACCATCTCTGTAAGATCAAAGAGGGGGAAGTCACTCAGTCTTTTCATACCTACTTCATTTTCTGCAGGGAAGAACTGTTAGAACACAGCCTGCGAAGTAATACCTGTGACTATTTAAAGTTTCTGTGCTGAGATTCTTTTGGTTCCATAACCATTTCCTATTTTAACTTCTTGCAACCTGACTATTCCTAAGCACATATCTTCTTTTTCCTTTAGAATGAATTTTTTCTTTTCTTTTTATAAAGGCAATATATATCATATATATCATAAAATGCAAGTGAGACAAAAAGAAAGAAATAGGAAAGGAAAGAAGGAAGGAAGGAAAGAAGAAAAGAAGGAAGGAAGAAAGGAAGGAAGGAAACAGAAAGAAGAAGAGAAAAAGAAAGGGAGGGAGGGAGAAAGAGGGAGAGAAAGAGAAAGAAACAGACTGGGAATGTGGCTTACTGGTAGAGTGCTTGCCTAGCATGCATGAAGCCCTGGGTTCAATTCCTCAGTAAACAGAAAAGGCCAGAGGAACCTCTGTGGCTCAAGAGGTAGAGCACTAGTCTTGAGCACAGAGAGGCTCAGGGATAGTGCCCAGGCCCTGCATTCAAGCCACAGGACTGCCGAGAGAGAGACAGAGACAGAGACAGAGAGAGACAGAGAGAGACAGAGAGAGACAGAGAGAGAGAGAGATGACAAAGATCAAAGTCAGCCCTTGGTATATGTGGAGAGTTTGTTCCTGGGGCACCCCTCACACCCCCATGAATACTCAAATCCATGAATGCTGGAGTCCTTTATATAAAATGGTATTATATTTGTGAATAACTTATGCATATTCTCCTGTATGCTTTAAGTCACCTCTAGATTACCTATATTATACAACGCAAATGTTATGCAAATAGTTATTATATTGTTTAGGGAATGGTGATGAGGAAAACAGTCTATACATATTCAGTAGAGATGCAAATTTGCTTCCAAATATTTCCCATCTGTGCTTGGTTGGATCCACCGAAGTGGAGCCCATGGATTTGGAACAGTGAGCGTACTGCCCCTAGGCTTCCCCAAAGCCACGCTGCCTGCCAGAAAGCTTGCCGGAGGTTGTTGGCCCTGGAATTCACATCAGGCTTTTAATTTAATTTCAGAGTAACAGCATTCCCAGCCCAGCCCAGACAAATGTGTGTGCTTTCAGGGGCCCAGCTCCAGTGCAGTGAGCAGTCACACCGCAGTACCGGGGGTTACTTCTGCCACCATCGCTGCATCTCAGTAAAAGCAGTGAATGCTTTGTATGTTGGTCAGCATGCTCTCCCAGAGCCTGTGAACCAGGAAAACTGGAAAAACTGACCATCCGGGTCATGGATTCATGGCATCACCCCAGGAAAACTAGTTAAAAGTGTACATAAACTTCCCAGGGATAGAATTACCTTTATTAATGAGAAGTAGTTCAGAAACACTCTTCGGTTTGAAGCCTTGGCCCCAAGGGCAATGCAATGGTACAGGGTTTCTATTGAGGGGTGAGATCCTAACACCTTTGCGTGGCCTGAACGTACGCTGAACAATTGGGGCAAAGCAGGAAGATGCTGGTGCCTGAGGTGGGAAGTAGTCAGGCTATCTGCGCATATGCAGTCACTTGGAGCATATGCTTCATTCTTTACTCACAGAGAGGGTTCCAACTGTACAGAACTTGCTTACACTCACAAGGAAAGGTGGGAATAAAATTCACGTCTGTTGAATTAACCCCAAAGCCACCTTCTCTTCCTGCTACCCTAAGAGTACCTTAGTACCTTCCCTCACCACCTCTTCTTTCCTTTGGCCCTCAGGAAAATTCCACCCACGGGCAAGTTGGTGCTGACCCTCAGCACAGATGCATGTGAAGGAAAGGAAAATTTTGTCCGCTACCTGGAGCACGTCCAAGCTGTCATCACGGTCAATGCCACCAGGAGAGGGGACCTGAACATCAACATGACTTCCCCTATGGGCACCAAGTCGATTTTGCTAAGCCGGCGTCCTAGGGATGATGACTCCAAAGTGGGCTTTGACAAGTGGCCTTTTATGACCACCCACACTTGGGGAGAAGATGCCCGAGGAACCTGGACCCTGGAGCTGGGGTTTGTGGGCAGTGCACCTCAGAAGGGGGTGCTGAAGGAATGGACTCTGATGCTACATGGTACACAGAGTGCCCCGTATATTGACCAAGTGGTAAGAGATTACCAGTCAAAGCTGGCCATGTCCAAGAAGCAAGAGCTAGAGGAAGAGCTGGATGAAGCTGTGGAGAGAAGCCTGAAAAGTATTCTAAGCAAAAACTAGGGCCACATTTCTGCCTCCATGGTCTCCCTCCCTCTCTGTCTCTGCCTCTGTCCTCACCCAGTGTTTCCAGCAGGTACCTAGCAATTACTGTCACCCCCACACACCGGCAATGCCATCTTCTTAATCAACCACTTTGCTCACTGTCAGTGATTATTTTCATTACAATGGAAGTGATCTTTTTTATTCTATGCCCCAAATATAGTGTTTCCCCCATAACATCTATGTCCTACGTGTGACTCTACCTTCTTTATTTCTGTCATTCAAATGGGTGATATTCTGCAAACAAAACTGGGACCGTTTTTCCTTTGATTTTTTTTTCCTATCTGAGCAAACGCATGTTATAAAAAAAAAAAGAAAAGAAAAAGGCACCTGCAGTGACTGGAGAACATTTGTCTGTGGTCTCAGTGAGGAGCTGTTATGTAACATGGAAAGCAAAGCTGAGGCAGAGCTGGGGGAAGGCGGGCCTCTGCCACTCTTAATGCACAGGGAAAGCTGCAAACTTCAATTTAAAAAAATTCATAAGGGATATCAGAGATTTGAGTGACGTGATGAGCGGGAAGCCATCCACAGGGAGCCTAAATCTCTACAGGAGAGAAAAAAAAAGATTCCAAATATGATCGCTGGACCTTTACCGTCAACACTAAGATCATAACTCACTCTCCTCAGCCAGCCTGCTAGGAAACCTTACATAGTGCGGCTCTCCTTAACCAGCTGTTGCTCAGATTTATTGTCAAATCTGCTGGAGCAGCCCAAATTTCTTCCCATTTGTATAGAGTTACACACACGCACACATACATACATATTTATTTTCAGGGATTCTCTTATATAGCTATTCAAAAGAAAACATGAAAGTAAATCTAGCAACAAGTCTATGAAAAAATAGTTGATTCATTTAAAAAAAAAAAAAGAATGTTCCTTTGGGGCTTTCTGCTCTGGTGTCACTACGAGGTGAGGAGCTTGATTGGGTTGGATCTGGCTTGTTGTTGAGTTTTACAGCTTTACACACATGTGTTTGGACTTTGCTTTCCAAAAACATAATTGGAAAGAAATGTCTCTGATATGTTGGGGAAACGGCATTTGTTCTGAGAGAGGTGTGGAAGAGTGAAGGTGGTACATTGGAGGATTAGTTGTATTCTTGGAGACCTCCATTTGTGAGGAGCCTATCTTGATGAGAAGGGCACTTATCAGCTCTCCCCTTCATAGCTTGAGCCTGCGTTAAGCAACTTAGAAATCCATGAGAACATTGGATATGACACCCAAAGGTTAGAGTTGCCAACTTCAAAAGACAGCATTCACTCCCAAATACTTTTAACCAAGGTGACCTGTTGTCATATTGCATTCTTACCCCAGGACAGGCTTCACACCCAACTTCAGTGCCCAGCCACTCACAAGAAGCGTTTCTTTGTTCCTAGCCACTCCTAGCACCAACCCCTCCCTCCCATACAGCATCCTTGACTCAAACCAGCAATCAAGATCTCTAGGTTTGACTCCCTGATGGTGGTAACTTGAACAGAGAATCCTCACTTCTATTCTCTCTTTCCCCATATTGGCATGAATTTCTGTCTTCTCTAGCACCCTGTGAACTATCCCTGTATATGCTTTTAAGTGTAACAATATTTATGATTTTTTAAAGAAATTTATTACTTGTTGCAAAGATCTTTTTAAACCAGTTTAGATTTAAAGAAAAATAAATGGAAGTCATTGAAAATTCATTTCACATTAATGGTCTGAAAATAAACCAAAGGACATTATGTGTGCCTGTGTGTTTAAGTGCACACAGAAATATATATATATATACATATGTAGACTATATACATGTGTGTATATGTGTATATATATACACCTGTATAAATGTATATACACACATATACTTAACATGTGTGTATGTGTATTTATTGAAGAAATAGACACCATATTCATCTCTAAAAGAATATTCAGAGAATATCAAGGTGATTCTGGCTAAGAGAAAGCCAGTGGAAATTCAGGTGAAAATGTTCATCGAGTCCCATTATGTCTCCTCTGTAATTTTGCAGCTCTCTGTATAAACATTAAATGTCTTATATACGCAGCACAAATATAAAAGCTGTCCATATTTTCACAGTTGTGGCATAATTTATGAAATCAGAGAGTAACTTATCAGCTTCTTAATAGAAATGGCAAGTTTTGATATGAGAATATAGTATATATAAATATATATAGTGCTATATACAAATATTTGGTCTCTATTTCATTTTTTGCATCAGTATTAACACTAAATTATGTCTAGCTAGTGATGTTTCATGATATCCCTGATCCTAATGCAAGAGAGTTATTTATAGTCATTTATTTTAAAAATAAAAATAACTGGATAATGATTAATCAGGTTAATATTGTTGCTCCCTGTGACAAAATTTTATAAGTAAATTTAAAAAATATATGTTGTAAATTAGGACGCTCAACAATAAAACATTACCTTCCAGAAATTATGTGAGATGTGCTATATCTTACATGAAAACACTTCCATCATTTGTAGGAGCAGATGATAAAAATTTGCCAAAGAGAGACCTAAAAAGCCTGCCTATCTTAGTAAATATACACAAAAGACACAATTAGCATGTACATTGGACACAAATTATGGTCAGCAGTGACGTTCTTTTCATATTTAAGTTATATCCATTAGTTGTTGTAAAATCAACTTTGGAAGTCAACACTAGAGTATTTTAATAGAATAAAATAGGATAGTCTTGAGTAGACTAGATCATACCTATTAAAGATAAGTAGTATTTCCTGAAATATGTTTCTAGGAGGTAAGTACAGAAATCTGTTTGTCTGTTTGTCTGCCTGTCTGGTTCATGACATAAACTAGATTTCTTATTATGGCCCATGGTCAAAATCTTTTAGAAACACCATTCTAGAATACATGCACATTAGAGTAGACTAAGTTATAGTTTAGTAGCAAATAGCCTCAAAAATCTCAGGGAATGTGGCTTAGTGGTAGAGTGCTTGCCTAGCATGCATGAAGCCCTGGTTTCAATTCCTCAGTACCACATACACAGAAAAGGCCAGAGGTGGTGCTGTAGCTCAAGTCATAGAGTGCTAGCCTTGTGCAAAAGAAGCTCAGGGAGGGCTGGGAAGGTGGCTCAGTGGTAGAGCGCTTGCCTTGCATGCATGAGGCCCTGGGTTCGATTCCTCAGCACCACATAAGAAAAAAGAGGGGCTG